AAAGAAAAAGATGCATGCAAAAGTCATGACAGGCACGAGGTATCAATACCGTTATATATAACAACAACATATAGGTAGGAATACTACACTTGCATCATACATGACCTTTGAAAACAATTATTTACGTATAGTATTGCTGCCTTGTCCGCTAGTTGAGTCCGACATGGCACATGGCGGCGTGCTATTGTTGTTATCTTCACTGCCTCAGTTTCGAAACAACCACGTGACATATATAAATAGATCTGCGCTAAATTTACACAGGGCTTCCCCGAGATTTCAGTGGTCAAAACTGGACATTGCAAGCAGAACTCGACCATCATATTGCTGTGGTATAACTTTTGGAAGGCCATTTAGATCCATTTATTTCGTAGTTTTTTCCCCCACCAGCCCCTTTAAATGTACAATTTAATTTAACCTATTTACTATGTAGATGTGTACCTTTGTGATGTTTTCCCCAAACTCTGTCACTACTGTTATGTCAATGTGTAGGAGCATTGTTAATCACAACTCTACAGACACAAGGTAAAAAAACCAGCGAATTAATGTTCAAGTAATGATGGGGGTCTACTTGTCACAATCCTGGACTACTAATTGTCTAGGTTTTTGGTTCCTTTTATTGCAGAATTGTTGCCTTAGTTTGAAGTATTTAAAATAAGTTAAACCTGGAGAAACTGCTGATTTCACCTGACTGATATTTTTATAGAACATTCAAAACCTTACCTGAAGAATGTCCTGGTGGTTTCTATGACCTTACTTGTGGAAGATTTGGTGACCTTGATGACCTTTTACCCAAAAGATGACTGATATCCTGACACTAACCTTAAGAATGACAGGTGACCTGATCTTACTAAAAGGATGACCATAATACCTCACAGTTTAACCTTGCTTTGTGACCCAACTACACAATGACCTTGGTGAACTTACATAAAGAATGGCCTCGATAACCTAACATTTAGAATGCTGATGACCTTTACCTAAATAATGACCTTAGTCACCTAACATTTTGAATGCTGATGACCTTTATCTAAATAATGACCTTAGTCACCTAACATTTAGAATGCTGATGACCTTTACCTAGATAATGACCTTAGTCACCTAACATTTAGAATGCTGATGACCTTTACCTAGATAATGACCTTAGTCACCTAACATTTAGAATGCTGATGACCTTTATCTAAATATTGATCTTGGGAGCCTAACATTTAGATTGACCTTTGTAACTTACCTAAACAATGACCTTGGTGACCTTACCTGAAGAATGGTCTGTAACTGGAAAGATTGACCACAGATTTGTCAGACTGTTCAGTTCCTTTGTCCACCTGGGTATCTGCTGTTGTCTGCAAATTCAGCAATAAAATACTGCTTTATGCTCTGAGAAAATTTCAAGAACTTTAAAAAGATTCTAAAACCAGAATTACATCAAAACAACATGGATTGCTGGTGTTGCCATGGATAAAAATGTAATTTGAATATAAAATATGTGAACCTTTGAGCTGTAACTATGAAGTTTACCTTGCAAAAGCCTCTAAACCAGTCTGTGGCCCCATCTAGTGATAAATCTCACTGAGGGATAAATCTCACTGAAGTATTGAGAAACAAGCTCAGCTAAGACATGCATATGAGTAAGAAAACACTCAGCAATGCTTTCCTTAGGAGAACATTTAAGTTAAGGAGAAACATCTCAGCTACCACATGTTGTTTAACTGAAGCCTGTATGTCTGGCATAAAAATGCTGAAAATTTATCCTTATGTAATTTTATTGGAAGGATTTATTCATATTTCTAAAACTTAAATCATTTTTGTGAGTTCATATCAATCCAGACTGGCTTCTTCCTATCCGATTCATTTTTCTTGACCTGTAACTGAAAAGAAACATTCCTGGCAGTACAGATCGATCCACCAACTATAATATTGACATTCCTATCAGGCAGAATTGATCATGATAGGAGACTTACTTTATCTAGAACTGTTGAGTCCTTGCTGTTTTCATCACTCTCCTCATCTGGGGAATTTTCTTTGTCACCCTTTTTCCTAGAAATACATGAACATATAAATATATACAGTGATCACCAGCAGTAGTGCCCTACAATAAACATGTGATATGTACTCAAACAAGTTCGTGTTGATCGCAAATACATCTATTAGTTTATTGTAACATTGTTATTGAAACTATTGGCATTCTTCTACTTTCAGAGGATAGTATTTTTGAATTATTGGTTTTGAGATTATTCTGTACTTTAACAGAAATGATGTTGTCATTTTGAATTCACATGATACAGCTATGCAGTTCCAATTAAACAAATGTTCACATCAAACAAATATATATGTATATCAGTCCTTATCTTCAAACTGAATATGCAGTAAAATATAATTATTGTTCATTTTTTTATGACGAAGCTAAATATTTGTGTGCCCCTTGAAAGAATTTTTTTGGATGTAGCTTAAACTATAATGAATTAAATAAGCCTACATCAGCCTTAATCATTAGGTCCTTTCTGACTAGCTGATTTTGATATTACTTGTACAAAACATAGAAAATGGACAATATTTCTAAGCTTATCAATTTTACTTCGTTTTGTCGTGAGACTGTTTCCTTTGTGTAACATTTAATGATGATTGGGTGTCTTACTTTTTGCCCGCTTTCCTGCCCTTCTTCTTGCCCTTACTCTCACCACTGGCCGTCTGGAGGACCGGCGTAGGACACTCGTACCAGTCAAAGTTGGCAGGAGGCGGCTTGAAATTTGGTGTGGCTACAAATAAATATCAATTAATTTTGATGTTTGTACTCGAATATCAAGGTGTTTTTTTAAGACTGAACAACAATACATGCTGGAATCCTACATCAAGATGGTTGATGGTTTACGAGAGCTCAGGAGAGTTTAAACTGCTGTAAGGCAAGTTCTGTCTGGCAGGTGTTGACAGGGAACACATATATCAAAAGATTTGACAGAGTCTTGAAATACATAATCAATGGTCAACCTTAAGAGTAGAACATTTTCGTCATTTCTTACTTTACAGGTTAAACAAAATATGTGAAACAAGACTTAGATTTGACCATACAAACATAGGTCTGTAATCTATAATCAGATGATACTTTTAGTTATAAATCTGTAATATATAGCAGAACTGGATTGGGTCAATTGTCGGCGACCAGATAGTTCAATTGTTAGACCCTCTGTCTAGAGTTCGGAGGGTCCTAGGTTTGAATCCCTGTTTGGCTGTGCAATTCTCTTCTCCTCTAACAATGACAAAACAACTCATTATTACTGTAATATTAACCTGCCATGCATTTCTCCAGTAAGCCCTGTAACCCTATAATATTAACCTACTAAGTACTTATCCAGTAAGCCCTGTATCTCTATAATATTTACCAGCCAAGCATTTCTCCAGTAAGCCATGTTACTCTGTAATATTTACCTGCCAAGCATTTCTCCAGTGAGCCCTGTAACTCTGTAATATTTACCTGCTAAGCATTTCTCCAGTAAGTCCTGTAGCTCTATAATATTTACCTGCCAAGCATTTCTCCAGTGAGCCCTGTAACTCTGTAATATTTACCTGCCAAGCATTTCTCCAGGAAGCCCTGTAACTCTGTAATATTTACCAGCCAAGCATTTCTCCAGTAAGCCCTGTAGCTCTGTAATATTTTCCTGCCAAGCATTTCTCCAGTAAGCCCTGTAACTCTATAATATTTACCAGCCATGCATTTCTCCAGTAAGCCCTGTAACCCTATAATATTAACCTACTAAGTACTTATCCAGTAAGCCCTGTATCTCTATAATATTTACCAGCCAAGCATTTCTCCAGTAAGTCCTGTAACTCTGTAATATTTACCTGCCAAGCATTTCTCCAGTGAGCCCTGTAACTCTGTAATATTTACCTGCTAAGCATTTCTCCAGAAAGCCCTGTAGCTCTGTAATATTTACCAGCCAAGCATTTCTCCAGTAAGCCATGTTACTCTGTAATATTTACCTGCCAAGCATTTCTCCAGTAAGCCCTGTAACTCTGTAATGTTCTGAACTCTTGTGATGACCTTCCCCTTCATTTCAAGGTCATCATGTGGGGCAAAGGCATTGACGGTTTCCCTGAACCAGTTGAGGCCAGCGAAAACAGCAGTACACACAATCTCTTTCTCCCTGCGTGAAAGGCTGGTAATCTTCTCAAATATCTCGGGAGTCGGAAGCAGTAATGGACAACCTGATGTGGTATGAAAAACAATGAAAATTCAAAAATAAGAAAATTTCACTTTAACAGTCAATCAGAATAGAGGAACTGTTGAAAACTGTGCATTCATCAAATATTCACGGACCTAGATAATGCCCATGACTGTATGTTTGACCCTAATACAGGCGGTTGGTCAGTCCAGACAATCTGGATTTGGTTAAGCAAATATCCCCAGTCATTAAAATGTCACTCTAAACAGTAACCTAGAATTGATCATGAAAGCTGAGCATCAGCCCTAGAATACATAGTAGTCTGTCATAAGTAGTGATAAAACACCCTCAATACTTACCAAGAAGAGCATCTATGTTGGTGAGGTCACCTTGTTGTTTTTCTTCACAAATCTGCAGCAGTCGAAAGTGGGGTGACAGACACACCGGGTCTGGAGATCTCCTGTAATGTTAAACACAGTGGGAGGTATGCATGAAGAGAACATCAGACATGTAATAAATATACTTTTAAGGATCCCTGTCCGTCTACATTGTTGTTTTTCAGTAACCTCCCCTTAACTTCCGTTTGGATATAGCTGTAGCACATTTAGACCAGGACACTTTTGTTGACTAGGTGGCACAATCGGTTACAGTTATAGCAATCTGAAGTCCAGGGTTTTGAATCAAATCTGAAGTCCAGGGTTTTGAATCAAATCTGAAGTCCAGGGTTTGAATCAAATTGTTTGAAAATAAACCCTCAACAGTGTACAACGATGAAGAGACGAAATAACGTTTTACCAAGTATTGTAAATGTGTGGATAACTTACAAGAAAATGTAGTTTAAAATTTTTCTAAAATAATAAACACTTGGGACCTTGATTTGTTGTTTAACTGGAGACTGAGAACTAATTCATGAACTGTGGTGTTGTTACAATCAACCTTTTTTTATCTATAACACAATTACTATGTCCGGAGTCTGGTGTACAGGGAACAAAATCCTGTACCAGAAATCTATCATTACATATCATTAGATATGTTGATAAATAAAATTACCCGTTTTCATTCTTGTTGGGTTGTTGTTTTTTCTTGTCCTTGGTGCTGAACTCTACAAGAGGGATGATGTTGATGGCGATGGATCCCTCCGCGTCATCGTCCAGACTGTACTTTGTCTCAAATGGTATCATATACTTCCTGTAACAACAATGCAATATTTTAAAACTGGAAATTCTAAAATAGCTACCTTTTTGTTTATTTGAAAACCTTATGTAGGACCTTATCTGGTATCTACCACACAACCATCCTGATGTCTGACACAACTTACGATTTATCTGGTATCTACCACACAACCACCCTGATGTCTGACACAACTTACGATTTATCTGGTATCTACCACACAATCATCCTGATGTCTGACACTACTTACGATTTATCTGGTATCTACCACACAATCATCCTGATGTCTGACACTACTTACGATTTATCTGGTATCTACCACACAATCATCCTGATGTCTGACACTACTTACGATTTATCTGGTATCTACCACACAATCATCCTGATGTCTGACACTACTTACGATTTATCTGGTATCTACCACACAATCATCCTGATGTCTGACACTACTTACGATTTATCTGGTATCTACCACACAATCATCCTGATGTCTGACACTACTTACGATTTATCTGGTATCTACCACACAATCATCCTGATGTCTGACACTACTTACGATTTATCTGGTATCTACCACACAATCATCCTGATGTCTGACACTACTTACGATTTATCTGGTATCTACCACACAATCATCCTGATGTCTGACACTACTTACGATTTATCTGGTATCTACCACACAATCATCCTGATGTCTGACACTACTTACGATTTATCTGGTATCTACCACACAATCATCCTGATGTCTGACACTACTTACGATTTATCTGGTATCTACCACACAATCATCCTGATGTCTGACACTACTTACGATTTATCTGGTATCTACCACACAATCATCCTGAAGTCTGACACTACTTACGATTTATCTGGTATCTCTTCTATGTCCACCACATAATCATCTTGGAAGTCTGTGATTACGTTTTCACTGATCCATGTCTGAAAATGTATTGGAACCCTTTTTGTCATGATCAGAGCAACCATTTTGTTTGGGAGTCACATTCATGAAACTTCATACAGGAAGGTTTGCTGTCCGAAATGTCACCGATGTTTTTGTGGTTATATATACTAGCAGAAAAAAGAAACTGTGCATGCCTAAAATGTGTTATAAAAATAAATGTGTATGATGTAGAACAACAAGGTTTTCAGGGACAATTCATTTGTTATTTATTAACAGTTGCATTCCATTTTCCACGTTATGGAATCGTTAAGTTCCGCTCAGGAGTGACTTAAACACAGCAGGGGTCAATACTGAGTTCACAAAGTTAATACCTCGTATGTCCACCGCTTGCCAGAATGCAAGCCTGGCAAAGTCGACGCATGGAGCCTATCAGACGGTTCAAGAATGCTTGTGGGATGGCATTCCAGATCTGTACCAACGCTGCAGCCAAATCAGCCAACGTCACCGGTTGATTAGGTAATGCCCGTAATCTGCGCTTCATTTCATCCCAGACGTGTTCAATGGGCGACAGATCGGGGGATACAGCAGGCCAGGGCAACACGTCAACGTTCTGCTGGGCCAGAAAGTCCATAGCGACACGAGCTGTGTG